ATATATTTAGGCACTGCCTAAAAGCGGAGCTCCCGATACGGAAGTCACAGGGAGAACAATTTGAATGAAACTGAAAGGTAAAAATAAGATCGGGAAAAAATCTTCAATTATTTTTTATTCGAGATGAACATAATTTCTCCCATGATAAAAACCATGCAGTGACATCAAATCGAAATGCACTACATTGTTTGTTTGTTTGTTTGATGTTTTTTTTGCGCGAGTATACTCTCCCACTTAGGAATTTTGTACACAACTCACCACCACCCCCAGAGGCTAGTTTTGTTCTTGGAAGATTCTTCGACAAAGTTTTCCAAGGCCGACAGTTTTAGGCTTTAAATCTCTTTTACTTAAAAAGAAAACGAAAGATAACTACAGATAATGAAATACAATATCAAGCTTAGTGAAATTTAACACGGATGTCTTTCATTGAAATCGAAAACCTGGAGATTTAGGACAAATCAAGACTAAAAAACAGACTTGAAAACTGGTTAAGGTGAGCAGAAAATATGCTTACTTAATTACGTCTTTTACAGAACGAGGCGAAGTTTACATTCAGTTAAACTTGACAAGAACAACTGAGACAAAATAGAAATTAATGCAAAAGGCAATGCAAAATACAAAATGACGAATTTCTTGTCAGTAAATTGGCGTTTTTGAATATTTTTTTAGCTTCTTAAAGTGAAAGTCTTGGTCTATATAATAACATCTCTCAACAACACAAATTTAAGCTCATTTTTATAATCATACTTGCTCGGAGAGCTTAATAAATTGAACAGTTGATAAACTATCTGTAGAAAGATATAAAATTATTGAATGAAAGTCTTCTTTGTTTTGCCGATGGGACCCCGCGATAGGAGGCGAACATGACAAAGCTGCATTTTTCTTGAACGAAAAACATACGATAGTTGGTTAAAAACAACCGAATTGTTAACGTATAAAGATTTACAAAGCTAAATAAAGGACGAATATTTGTTGTAATATGCTCTTCATGCATGTTATATTTCCTCCAGCATTAAAATAAATTAAGCTTATCTATAGAATTAATACTAAAAGTTTTGAGAGAAAGTCTTTGATTTGTCGATTCGTCGAGAAAAATGCTTGTCAAAAAATATATGTATATACGATTGTTTGCTAAAAAACACACACCTGAATTCTTGAAGAACACTTCTTGATCCATCTTTGACTATATGAAAGTTTTTTAAAAATTGTTTTTGGTCTATAACTTGTCCTAAAGCGATTTTGTTCTGTGTATTTGAGAGACGCGTTTTGCTTTGACATCAAGCGGGATTCCTGTGTTTTGTACACGGACGGACGGACGGACGGACGGACGGACGGACGGACGGACGGAAGGCGCGTCAGCCAAGCTATGAAAAATCAACTCGATGGTTTACCATTTTTTCTTAAGTATGGTGCTCCGCTATAACCGTGAAACTTTAGTAATACTAAATGGCACAATTTCATGCAAATTCCATTGTTTTCTACTGTTTAATTAGCACTATTTTGTACTATTTAGTAATTAGTGTTTCACGGATTAATTGTTTGCACTCTAGCCTATATTATCACTTTAAAAAAGTACTTTCTATTATTTTAATCTCTTCGAGTGCGGCAAAGAAAATTAGAAAAACCTGGGGGCAAAAGTGAAGCTATGACGATCTTTGGAAATYAATAATTGAAAAGAATTTAATCCCAGAAATTTATTTCCTAAAGGAAGATCAGCACACAACAAGCACGGAAAGTATTTTACAAGGATTAGGTTTAGAAGCACCTGGAAAAAACTTTTACATCACGGGGACAAGTGTTTTCAAATAATGTGAACTAATCTGTGTGTTGAATCAGGGAGATTAAACGTAATCTAAAGTTCATCGGTTTAACGAGAACTGCCCGTTTACTGAAGTGTTTTCAAATAATGTGAACTAATCTGTGTGTTGAATCAGGGAGATTAAATGGAAATTACTAAGTTCTTCGGTTTCACGAAAACTCCCCGTTTACTGATCAAGTGAATGTTCACGGAAGACGAAATTGTTGCGTTTGAAAAGGATTATTGATAAGATAAAGTTCAGTTATATAATAATGTTAACTGAACTCAAGACAATATTAAGTGCTTCATATTCTCCTGTTGAACTATATTCAGACGCACTTTKGTGCGTTTACTCGGGATACCATCAAGATGTCAGGGACGCGTTTGAAAAGGATTTTTGATAAGAAAGACTTCAGTTATAATAATGATAATAGAACTATAAAGATATCAATGTTACTTAAGGGGTTTCGAGTGCCATTTGGACTATCAATTTGCACCAGTGGTTTTTCAGAGACTTCAAGAGTACAATTTGAGCTCTCCTGGAAAACACACTAGTT